GCTGGGCGCCCGGCGTGGTGGCCGAGCGGGTCTGCGCCTTATCTCTCGGGAGGAGTTGGGAGGGAGGGATGAGGACGCAGGGAGGCAGGACTAGGAGGTATGAGGACAGAGGACAGGAGGAGTAGGAGGATAGGCTCTCCTCTTCTCCTCCTGGCGGGGTCCTCTGCGCCTCTGGCTCTTAGGGTCGCCTGGGCCTCGCCCCCCCGCTCCTCCTCCGCCCCGAGAGTAAGGATAGCACGGGCCTTCCTCCCCCCTCCTCTGTCGGCGGCCTCGGCCGCCGCGTTGCGCTGCAGGGCACAGACCTTCATGGCGCGTCAAATAGCGGGAAATAGCAGAGGACAGGAGTTGTAGGAGGAAGATGATGATGATGCTGATGATGATGATGACGATGATGATGATGATGATGATGATGATGATGATGATGATGATGACGATGATGATGATGATGATGAGGAGGAGGAGGAGGACGAGGAGGAGGAGGATGATTATGATGCTGATGCTGATGATGATGAGGAGGAGGAGGAGTAGGAGGAGGAGGAGGACCAGTGTATGCACAAGACTCATCAAAGGCGTTAGATGACACCCTATCTCCAAGTTCCCTCTTCACAGGCCCCTACATGGGGTCTTTCCACTGGTGCAAGTGTCCCGTTGGGGGACAACCGTGTGAGCATCCTGAAGCGTGCCACATTCTGAGAACTTCAACGCCTCGAGTTATCCTGACTGTTACGTCTTGGCGATATCAATGTAACTGCTGTGCCCTGCCAATTCTGAACCGTTCCAAAACACCATTTCCTGATACGTGGCCCATGAGAATCAGTGAAACGCTTGCGAATGTTTGAAACGAGCGATCGCGGCGCTACGGCGACTGCCACGTTTTGGAAAGATCCGAGCTCAATCCGTGAAGCTTTTCAAATGTTTAAAGCGAATGTGCGCGGCGCTAAGGCGAGAGGCACACTTTAAGACGACCCGCCGTCAATCCGTGAATCTCTTGCAAATATGTTAAACAGCTATGCGCGGCGCCAAGGCGAGAGCCGCATCTTTGAAACGACCCGCATTTAACCCGTAAGGCTCTCGCAAATGTTTTAAACGAATGCGCGCGGCGCAGGCGAGAACCACATTTCGAAAACGACCTGCCCTCAACCCGTGAAACTCTGGCAAATGTTTCAAACGAATGTGCGCGGCGCAAAGGCGAGAACCGCATTCTGACAACGGCACGCCTTCAATCCGTGAAGCTCTTGCAAGTGTTTCAAACCAGTGTGCGTGGCGCTAAGGCGGGAGCCACATGTTGACAACCACCCGCCCTCCATTTCTGAAAATGCTGCCAAGTGTTAAGTCTCGGGGCCATTCACTGTGAGGAAGTCTCAGGCGAATCGCCCGGCCAGTTTTTTCGACCGGCCTCGGAGCTCGACACGGAGGAGTTATTTATACGGGCAAAGAATGGAGGAGGAGCAGCAGGAGGAGGGAGGAGGGGGGGGATGAGGAAGAGGAGGAGGAGGAAGAGGAGGAGGAGGAGGAGGAGGAGGAGGATTATGTTATGCTAGGGAGCCCGTTGAGACCTGGTCAAGCCTGGACACGCTTCACATTCAAACCTCAACAAACGACTCCTTTTTTGGGGGAAGGCCCCTGGAAAATCGAGAAAGCACATCATGACCAGCTTTCGTGGGAGGACGGTCGAGCGCTTTGCACGCATGGCCCAGGCCCTGGTCTGCAATAGCGGAGTGCGCGCCACATCTCCCACAGTAAGTGACGCCACTACATCTCCTGTATATTACAATTACCTGCACAACACGGATGCAGTGGATGATGCATCGGATCATTCCTGGACAGGACACGTGGGCCAGACCCGGATACAGTGGATGATGCGTAGGGCCAGAGCAGGGCCCTGTCCAAGAAGCTCACGATGGGCCCTCTGCGACGGAACCCGCGCTGGCACGTGCGGCATCGGAGCGTGTCGCCCCGCTTCCTGTGGTTACCTCCCCGCGTCCTGGTGGGGGGTTGCAGGAGGAGGAGGAGAAGGAGGAGGAGGAGGAGGAGGAGGAGGAGGAGGAGGAGGAGGAGGAGGAGGAGGAGGAGGAGGAGGAGGAGGAGGAGGAGGAGGAATGCTGTCGGGTGGCGAAGGAAGAGGGAGAGCACGCGGGCGCGGGCTGGGCCTCCCCGCGCTGACGGCCGCAGTCCTGGGGCCGGGCTCGGCGACCTCCATGCTGACAGCCAGCTGGCGGCACAGAGCGCTGCGAGTCTTCGAACCTGCCTGCCGGATGGCCTGGACAGTGGCCTCTGGTTCCGCAACCTTGTTAGCAGCCCGGCCATGAAGAACGCAGCGCACCAGTTGAGAAACAGTTTGCCTCTAGAAATCCCAAAGCGGCCCAGAGTTCCCAAGGACGCGTGAGACCTAATCCTCGAAACGGTGACCCGACTAGGACCCCGACCATCGATTGCACCCTAGATCAAGACCTAAAGATCGGCCATCGTCGTCGAGCTTCTCATCTGAGCTCCTGACTTACGCATAGCACGGGCGAGCGGCAGAACATCAGTAAAGACGACGGTATCACCAGTAGTGTGCCGCACTGCCATGAGGAAGGCGTAGAATTCGGCTCGGGGGCTATTCTGAGCAACCGTAGGGAGGGAAACCCACACCGTGTCCAGTCGAAACTTGTAATCACCATCACCTTCATCACCATAGTCAAGTCTAGCAGAGTTTTAAGGCGAGAGCCTAACCGTAGCGCAAGTACACCGGCGAAGACGAGAATATTTAGCACGAGGGCCTCCAGATCCATCGAGGCCCCAACTTCCACCGTCAACCCGGTTATCATGCAAGAAACGACCCCACCCCCACGCCAAAGACTGGGGGTCAGGGACAAGACCAATAGTATCCTGAGAACTAGGAAGCCCACGGTTCCAGAACGCAGAGTCGGGGTCGGCGGCAAGAGTTTCCTGTTTCAAATCATTGGTGATGAGGGCGGCAGTGCTGTCCATGTTCGCATTACTGGGGCAGGCCCAACATATGTGCTGGGATGTCCCAACCTCGTCGGCACAGCATAGCCACTTCCAATGCTTACGATTGCCTGAGTCACGTACGCGAGCCTCTGGCCAGCATGCACCAACGACGATGGTGACTAACATGCCTGCACGCTGGTAATCCAAAGCTTTCAAGAGAGACTGATGCAGGCGGGGGAGACTGCAACATCTGGAGCATCCTACACTGCTTAGGCGCAGTAGTGCTCAGCTGACTTAGACCAAACCTGGGATGAGACAGTGGCGCGTACACGAGTAACAAGATGAAACCGAAAATCAGGATCAGTCCACCGTAGAGGAGGGGCTCCAACAACCTTCCAATTATCGACCCGACGGGGCACCCAGCCGACATCCAGGAGGGTCACATAGGTAGCACTGAGCGTGACCTTTGGAGGAGGAGGAGGACGAGGAGGACGAGGAGGACGAGGAGGAGGAGGAGGAGGAGGAGGAGGAGGAGGAGGAGGAGGAGGAGGAGAGGTGCCGAGGGAGGAGGGGAGGGGGAGGAGGAGGAGGAGGAGGAGGAGGAGGAGGTGGAGCAGGAGGAGGAGGAGGAGTAGGAGGAGGAGGAGGAGGAGGAGGAGGAGGAGGAGGGAGGAGGGAGGAGGAGGAGGAGGAGGAGGCGAGGGAGTGAGGAGGAGGAGGAGGAGGAGGAGGAGGAGGAGGAGGAGGAGGAGTACAATAGACCCAAGATGCATCAACGGTGCTGCAACACACCCTCTCGTCCCAAGTCCTCTCCTCACAGGTTCCTGCAAGCTATCTTTCTCACTGCATGAAGCGTCCCCTTGCAAGGCCAGGCCCGCATGGGCTTGAAGTTCAGGCGAGAGCCCCAAAGGAGCTGCGTTGCACCTTTCAGCGAGTAGCAAGGAGCACGAAAAGTTCTGATCATACAGTTCAGCGAGGTGTCCATCGAGGTCTTCGTTTCGAAAAGGGACCACGCCCCTTACATCAAACGCAGCTGTTTCACAATGTTGCGTCTCCGGCCATCAACTTCGAAGAAGTCTCAGGCGAGATCCCCTATCCAGAAAATGGACCTGACTCCATCCGCGCAGCTGTCACGTGTGTGTGTGTGTGTGTGAACTTCGGGTCTTTGGATGAAGCGAAGTTTCAGGCGAGAGCCCCATCTTAAAAAAGAGTCACCCTCCATCCTCGTGCCTGGTGCAAGCTGTAAAGAAGAATGCGCACGGCGCTGAGGCGTAGTCCCCTTTTTTTGAAAACGATACCCTCCTCCTTCGAAAGTGCTTCAAGCTGTGAAGACGAATGTGCACGACGCTGAGGCGAGAACCACCCTCTGACCCCCCCCACCCGCGTACAGTCGGATCGAGGTATAAGACCGAGGCCGGTTCGGGGAGGGTGCCTTAATGTTTTGTTTGTTTGCTGGATGTGTTTGTGCACCCTGGGGGAGGGTATCCTCGAATGCTCTTCATTTTGGCCGGCGGAGAGTCTCATATTTTTGAAGGATGTTCTTCTGGCCTAGGTACGACTGTAGCTGATGCACATGGCTCTGGGATCACAACCAGTGCGGATGTCTTAGGCGAGGCGCCTGGCCCTCCCTGCCGACACGCGTCGGGGTGTGGCAGGGGGAAGTTATCTAGCAGGACCATGGGGTAGGAGGAGGAGAAAAAGGAGGAGGAGGAGGAGGAGGAGGAGGAGGAGGAGGAGGAGGAGGAGAGGGAGGAGGCGTTCGATTTGTTTGCTTGTTTGGGTTGTGTGAGTGTGTGTGTGTGTGTGTTTAGCCGCATCTGGGAAGCTTGCTCAGCCACGCCATTTCGCAAGGACCTTCGTGACCGTGGGCGTCGCCCACCATTGTGGCTGCCCGCCGACTGGAGACACGGGCGCGGCGGAGGCAAGCGTGTGCTTAGCTCTTTTTGGGGGGCCTCTGGGAGCCTCCTCGCCGCCACTGCCGGATCCGCCTGGAGCTCCTGGCCGGGGCGCACCTCTGGAGAGGTCTGGGGGCCGACCCTTGCGAGGAGGGAAAAAGGGGAAGGAGGAGGAGGAGGAGGAGGAGCAGGAGGAGGAG